GAGAAAACTGTCATTTTTCTGTGTTATATTGAGTGGCAGGTTTGTGGTCAAGTCAGTAACTCTTCTGGCACCATCTTGTGCCTTCTGTACTGTGACCAAGAAGTACATTCCTAGGTTTACCATCATCTTTACACCGCCCCCCAACAATGAGGGACGTGACCCTCCTTAAGGAGAAGGAAGCTGCGTCCTTCACCCTGGGTTTCAGGGCCCTATTATTTCACATGCTTCATCTCAGTCCTCTCCACAGTCTAATCAGTAGGCACAATTATATCCCTTTTAGAGACAAGATATCTTTGGAATGGGTAACTTAGTCTCTTAATTCAAAGATTTAAAAACATGTATACGTAACCCGAGAAATTTTCCCTCTGCCACCTCCATCTACTCAGCTCTCCTTCTCCCAGCTGCCATACCTCTTGGTGCTGGTTTCCAGAGTTTGTGTATGCATACATAGCAAAAAATGAATAGACACTCTTATCCTCCTGTTTATTTAACAACAACAACAACAGAAGTTAGTATGCTCCCATGCAGTTTGCGCCTTCATAGGAGGAATTTGAATCCAATTCTACCAGACTTCAAAGCTCAAACGTCTCTCCATCCTGCAAAACTGCTTTCTTAACTAGGGAGAAGCCAGAGAAAACCTCTTGGATCTTGAGCCATCCTCCTACTCAGCCAGTCTCCCCGGCCAGCTCTGCTCAGTCCGCAAGGCTCTAGGACTGACGTTGACCTGAGGAGTGCTGAGAGGCTTGCACACAATTAAACTGTTAGCTTGCTGGTCTCGAGGTTTGCATTAGGTATGACAAAGGCAAGAGAAGAAAAAGAAAAGATCCATGATTCAGAATAGTTTCTGACCATGATATCTTCTAGCCAGCTTGCATCCCAGTTCAAAATCTGTTTCTTTATCTCAACAGTAGAATGTTTTACTGGTGGCAGGATGTCTTGGGTGATTATTACCATACTGGCCCGGGTTGATCCTGAGAGCTAGGGTTAGGGGGTAGGAGAGAAAGGGACTCAACTCTTACCAAGCTCCTGGAGGACAAGGAGCCCAAAGGGAACCATTTAAAGTGCAAATGGGATGACATCATTCTCTTTCTTAAAGTCAGTCAATGGCTCCCATTACCTTTAGAAGGAAAGGTGGTGGCACCCAAGGCCGTTTCAATGTAGCCCTTGACTTCCTTCAGGCTCCTGTCTCCTGGCTCCCCGACACCACGGGCCATACATCAAGTTAAAGTCGCCCTCTTGGCTGCAATGCTCTTCAATTCTCTTTCCCTGGTTAACTGCCAGTTACTCATCAAGACTCACATCAGGCCTTAACTTCTCCAGAAAACCTTTGCCGACACCCCAATCTGGATGTGTTGCCCATCCTCCATGCGCCTGCTGAAACTTTGCTTGCCGACATATGCCACCTGTCACACTGTGTTTTCTGTCTCCCCCACCAGCCTGGAGGAGCAGTCCTAGCATTTGATAGGTGATTTTCACAAAGTTTTATGGCATAATGGTTAAGAGCAGGAGCTTGGAATAAGGCTTCCTGGGTTTGTATTTCATCTCTGCCTCTCACGGGCTTTGAGAGCTGGGAAGGATTATTTATCCTCTGTGGCTTTCATGTTACTCATTTGAAACGTTAAATGAATAGTAGCACCCAGGTGGGTTGTTCTAATAATTAAATGATATGGTGCAATTAAGTCCTCAGTGCAGTGCAGAAAGAGAGGCATTAGCTTGTTCTTTTATTTGCTTATTTTTTAGTGCTTTTCTTTACTCTCTGGAATGTAAGTTCCAGGAGTGCAAGGAGTTTAGCTTGTTCACTGCAGTATCCCAGCGCCCAGAACAACACCCAGGAGCCCAGTGCATACTTGTAGACTGTCTGGTGCATGGATGTACCGATGAATGACATGTGAGTCAGTCGTAGTGTCTTGAAGCCCCTGCAGGCCAGCCAGTTCCTTCAGAAATGGAAGTACCACCTCCTGTGATGGTCCCTACACGTGTTAGAGACTCAACAAACATTGGTGCCTTGTCCTTCCTGTTGTCAGCCATAGTCTCTTGCATTAGAACGAGACCCTTTGGTAATATCTGCTTCAGAGTTGGGTGACAGTGACAAATACAAGTGCAATATCAGCAGTGGCAATCTCTCTTTCAGACATGCTTGTATACAGCCTTGCTGCAAACAATGACAGTCATCACAACTATGTCAAAACAGCTCCTGCAAAGCAACTTCCTAGTTATCACTCGTATCTCTACAGATATTGGAATCCAAGGCCTTTTAGAGTTTATAGCCTAAACCAGAAATTCATATTTTGTAGTCACTGACATCATCATTTAACAAATGGGAACTTGACATTTTCCATATGAGACATTTATTGTGGCTCCTTTTTCTCTGGAGAAGAAAGTTTTAAAGCATCTCAAGTAAGGAGAGCATTATGTGCTAAACAAATTTTTTTTTTTTTAGTTTGAGGGCTATTTTTTATAGATGGGGTTTGGGGGACGTTGCTAAATTCATCAAAGTTTGAATTTATTTTTGCTCAAGCTGACTGGCCATGCAGTGTATAGGGAATATGGAGACCAGCTTTTATTACTACTCAGCGTGCCCCTGTCTGGCCGTGTGACCTTGAACAATCGTTACATTTATCGCTGCACACGCAGGGGGTTGAGCTGGTGGTCAAAGTCTTCCCAGCCCCGTCCTTCTGGGTATTTCCAACTGATGCTGCCCTGACAGCTCTGTAACGAGGAACCAATCAGGGGATGACTCACTGATTTGACTCCATGCAAAACATAGTAAGGGATGAATAAGAGGGGCCTTTGCCCTCAAAAAGTTTACCAATTATACGATCTTTAGAACCATGGGGGTGCGTGGGACACACTTCAAAAGCAAAGCAATTCTCTGTCCCATTGCTTTGATGGTTTCTTAAATACACTATTTAATTTGTTTTAAAAGATTGTAAAAACTCAGGCTAAAGAAGACATGAAACTTCTTAGGTTATCATAGAGAAGGGCAGGGTAGTGGAAGGCGGCGGTAGGATGGGCTAGAAGGACTGATAAACACTGATCTAGTGAAACTGGCCGAGGGTATCAGCTGTGTGGTGTTGAACACGTTCCTTAGTCTCTCACCGTTTCCCAGCAGCCTCGTCTATGATAGGAGCCTAATACCCTTCCTGCTGACATCACATGCTTTGGGGGAATATCACATTTTTAACAAGTTCGTAGAAATGCTTTGAAATGGCAAAATCTACAACCGTAGGTTTTATCATTCTAACATCCACAAAACAGGATAAGGACAAATAACACTATGGGCAACGTAACCTTGTTCATATTTCAGATGTACAAAAACATAGTTTATTTTCTAACGCTAAACTTAATGTCTGTTTCAAGCCTAGAAACAGTCTAGTCACTCGTGTGCTTCCTTCCTACAGAATTGACTGTAGGTTCTGGGGGTGCACAGAGTACCAATGTATGGCAGGGGTGGGGCACCGGGTTTGAGAGTCTTCACACAGATGTCTGCTGGGGTGTCCACTTGTCCTTAGTTGTTGACCCACACAAGTTGCCAGTGACATATCCTTTCTTTCTGTCCAACTGGCACCTGTAGACCCCGTGGCTCTCCCCACTGTGTCTGTACCTCCTTGGAGGTATGGGAATTTTTCTGTGAGGCTATGTAGGAACCCTCTTCCTATATTCACTCTGAAGTCCCTCTCTGAGGTCTTCCTGTCCCTGGGCTCGACAGCTCATCTCTCATCTGTCACCTGGTTCTAAGATTGTCTCTTGGGCTCCTAGTTACTAACAAGAAGGAAACATCTTTCTTCTGCTTTCTGGTCTCTCCACTGGTTCTGGGGAAATCCCGCCCAGTCCCCAGAGGAGCCATCTCCCCGTAAACTCCTTCCTGAAGATCTGGTTTCCCTCAAAGCCCTCATCGCTCCCTGAGGCCGTGGGCTTAGCTTGCTCATGCTCTCACCAGCTCTCCGCTGAGTCACATCCTCCCCTGAGGTAATGAGCACAGAACTGCCCCCATGCCTGCAGGGATGGAGGCAGAAGTGGAAAACACTGACACAGAGGTGAGAACTCCCATTAATAGTTTATAAAACAAAATGTTTTATAAAATTTAGTATCCCACTATTGCTACCAACAATAATAATGGATGTGTGTAAATAGATCTAGATTAGTTACATTTGAGACCCAGCCAAGAAAAAAGATGTCAGATAATGAGGAAAGGAGAAAATAACACGTAGTCTTTGTAACGTGGCTGCTGTTGATCTTAGCAGATCCACGGCAAGCAGTTGAGTTTTGTCACAGAGTCTCCTGCCTCTCTCCCGGGTCTCGGCCCTTCTCTGAGGTCAGTCAGGAGCAGGAGGGAAGCCCCTGTCTTGCACCCTCGGGTGTTCAGGGAGCCCCTGGGTCAGCATCCTCGGCACCAGCATTCGATGTGCCCGCTGGAGTGGCTGATGAGCGAGCCATCACCAGCCTGCGCTGCAGCCCTGCCTCCCAGGCCCGCCCAGTCCCCCACTCCTGCTAACCTGTCAGCCTGCGTTTTCAATTACCACCTTTGAAAAATGTCCGGGTGGACCTATTAAATCAATGAATGGGATGAGCCGAACCCAAGGCAATGACAATCCTGTGGCCTCCCTTGGGATAATTGGTGATCCCATAGGGTGCTGAAAAGCCAAGCCTGAAAATCATTGCTTTGAAGAAAGGAAGGACAACTGAGCCATTTCTTTTATTAAAATGCAGGAAATTTAAATAATGTCTCTGTTCTTCTCAGTGCCCATCAACCTTCATTTTTTTATGCACTGAAAAGTCTAAATATTTATTAACTTCACTGTACAGAATTTATTAGAGCTGCATTCAGCCAGGGCACCTATACATTTTAAAAATATATGGCACTTTAAAAATAACATCATTTTTAAAAAATTAGGAAATAATTGTGTTTTTATTTTAAAGAAACAAGGTACTACCCTACCTTAATAAAATAACCAAAAAAAAGCAGTTTTTGCAAGAGGGCCCACAGTTAACATGTTTACCTTAGTTATACAGCTGGTGCCATTTCGTGTAGAGTCGTGTATATCTGGGGAGTCACTAGCTGGACCAGTCCCACTGACCGGTGTTGTCAGAGGGAAAGGAGGAAGGCTTTTTCGAAAGTCTGCTTGTAAACCTCTTCCAGGCCATCTGGCCTTGCTCTTCTGTGACGTCAGAAAGCCAGTTTTATACTGTCATGGAAATAGGTGAGATCCCAGCCTAGACTGCAGCCATGTGGAACGTCACCTTTTAGTGGCTAGAGGAGATGTCCAGGTGAAAGCGGAGGAGGGGAAACTTTGGCCATGATCTCTATCGGCCACTCTCCCTCTTTTTTTTTTTTTTTTTTTTTGAGGAAAACTAGCTCTGAGCTAACTACTGCCAGTCCTCCTCTTTTTGCTGAGGAAACCTGTCCGTGAGCTAACATCCGTGCCCATCTTCCTCTACTTTATATGTGGGACGCCTGCCACAGCATGGCGCGCCAAGAGGTGCCATGTCCACACCCGGGATCCAAACCAGCGAACCCAGGTCACTGAGAAGCAGAACGTGCAAACTTAACCGCTGCGCCACTGGGCCGGCCCTCTTCTTTTTTTTTTTTGTGAGGAAGATTGGCCCTGAGCTAACATCTGTACCAGTCTTCCTCTATTTTATGTGGGATGCCACTACAGCATGGCTTGATGAGCAGGGTGTAGGTCCATGCCTGGGATTCAGGCTTGTGGACCACAAGCCACTGAAGTGGAGCTTGAAAACTTAACCTCTATGCCACTGGGCTGGCCCCCCCCATCTTTGACAACTGGAATTGATGTTGTCTCGATCTTATCCAAAGTGCTATGAAACATATTTTCAGTCTGTTCCTCCCAACAGATTCCTATAGTTCTGGAATTGCCTCTCTGTGTGTTTATTAATGGCCATTTTCCCATGAAAATTTCAAGTGATTAAGAAGATGCTCTGTCTTTCTTCCCTACCCTCTTCATCATCATGCTTTGTTACTCAACTAACACAATTTTTGGAGATATATCAGAAAAAAAAAGCCAACAAAGGAGTATAATTTGAAATTTCACCATGCAGAGAAAACCACTTTTCCTCAGGAATATAGCCTGTTGCAAGGTAGGCAATCATCTAGTTTTCAAAGGTCTTGAGTAAATCACATTTCAGATACATTGAAATGCTTTCAATTTGCTTCCGCTGCTTTTGTAGCAGCACTAGCAGATTTCCTATTCCCTTTTAAAATGATTTTTAAAAAGACAAGATCTTTAAAACTATGGAACCACCCGTGACTAGCCACAAACTTTGTACCAGCAGCGCTGCATTTTTCCTTTTCTGCCTTCACAGAGACTGCTGGCCTCTCTGCCTTATCACCACTCTGCAGTCGCAATTAGCATGCTGCAAAGGAGGGTGACAGGGACTGCACAGAACGAGCATGGCTGACACCCTGAGACCCTGCCAGGCACAGACGGAGTCAGCGTCGACAGGGTGGGGCAGCTGTTGTGGGCTCTGACTCGCACCTCCCGCTGTTCACCTGTGCACTGTGGTGCACATCGAATGTGAAAATGGCCACATGGCTAAAACGAAATGATGTACATTATGGAGCAATTTGCATAAAGCAACTTTGTGTTCATTCTGTGTCCCATAAGCTGAGGAACATCTGTATATTTATAGTTTTTTAAAAAAAACAAAATAAACTCATAGTATATATACCACTTTGCAAGTTGCTTTTTTTGTTGGCAAATGCCTCTGTACATCAATAAATGCGTACAGACATCATAATTGTTGGTGACTGCAAAATATCCCATTGTCTGAATCTACAACGATTCATTTAAACTGTCTCCAGTTAGGGGACATTTGGGGGGTTTTCCCTGTGGGCCACAGTGACGCCTCTGGTTCCCAGGTGCCATTCCTCAGCCTGCCTCTGGTTGCAGCCACGCTGTGATGGCGAAGCGTCATGAGCGCTCAGACTCACCTGGTGCTGCTGACAGCCCCGGCTCAGCCAGCACAGGAGCCTTGCTAATGCTCAAGGAGCCTGGAAGTGAGGAGAGAGAGCTGTCCCCCTGCCCCTAGGAAACTTCAACCAGTAGGGGACAGAACTGGTGACTAAATGCTCCAGCTTCCTGTTCCTCCAGAGGAAAGCTCTATAGAAGGCCTTTTGAATGACACCAAGGAGGGTGCAGTGGAGCAGAGCCCAGTAGCCCAAACATCTGCCCCTCTATATTGGCTTCTCCTTCTTTCTTCCTCCTCTCTCCCTCCTGCTTCTCGGGATCCTTCTGGAAATACAGTACCTGTACCCAGGCAAGTCCTGCTCTCAGACTCAGACCCAAAATAGGGACTATGATGAACAATGACACACAGGATATCCCTGAAGGTCCAGCTCTGCCATCGACCTAATTATTTCCTAAAGATAACTTCCTACAAATGTTCACTGATGAGGTAAACACTGCAGACATTTAAAAACAAGCTCAAACCAGTGCTCTGTTGAACAGAGTTCCTAACTGTAAAGGGGATTGATTTTATTTTATTTGCCTGTGCCTATTCCATCCCAGAGCTCTCACGAAGCTGGGTCTTCCGTCGAGGCAATGCACTGATACTGACTTCCTGTAGTCTTTTAAGCTAGCCTCTCTAGAGGCTCCAGAAGTCCCTGCCTTTTGCTCTCCTAACACTGTGATGAACGGAATAATTGGAATGTACACCCACTGTATCCCAAATAGACATCTCACTTTATTGCCTGGTAGTTATTAAGAATGAGTAGTAATTTTGCTGCTGAAAAGACTACTTATGGGGAAAGTAAGAAATAAGAAAAACATTCACTCATAATTTAAGCCACATGGAAATAAAACCAACCGCAAGATAAAATGTCTGTTTCTCAAACAGCTCAGTCTTTCTATCGCTGGTAATGGTGGAACTCTTAATTGTAAGTAGTAAAGTCTCTGGATTTTATTTTCAGCCCGGCATCAATGGTAAGAAATGTATAAGGAAGCGTTTGGAGTGGTACAAAAGGAACTCAATATGCAGGCCCTTTGCTGGGAAGGCAGCACGCTCTTGCTAGGGAGGGGGCTGTGGAAACAGTGTGAGCACCAAATCTGGATAAGCCACAGGCTTTCGAGGGGAGGAGGGGGCTCGGGGGGACTGGTGAGCATATGTTCGCATGTATAATTTATCTAAACACATATGTCATTATTTTTAAAAATAAGTGAATTACTCATAAATCATTTAAAGAGGCAATATACCTTTCTGACATCTTTGAGGAAGTCTATTTTATTTATTTATTTTTTGGACAGAGGAAAGTTTTATTTGACTTTTGAAGGCAAGCAGGACATAGCACACCAGATTCTAATTCATGCTCCCCTCATCCTTCTTTCCCATCTGCATTTCGAATTCCCAGTTCTTCCAGAAGTCTATTTTAAAATGGAATATAAAATCTTTCTCTTGGCAAACACTTACAGGTTCTGCCCTCTTGGATGGCTTCCCTAAGCAGAAAAAAAAAGCCTTCCTTGGCTGTGTTTGCCATCAACATCAATAACTCCTGCAAGGCACTCTGACTGCTATTTATTCTGTCATAATTACTATCACCAAACTGACATGATTACGGCTTTAGTAATTCTGTTGATTATAAATAGCACTAATGCTGTAATACATCAGCGAAGACAGGCACGTTATGGAAACATGGGCCGCACACACGTGGGTAGTTGTACCTTTGAGGATCATCATTGAAACATCTTCCGGACAGTGCTATCCCCAGTTGGCCTCTCTTTCCAATTGCTCCAATAAAGGCTTCGTTTAAACATCACTACCATTCTCCCTGCTCAGTGTCTCTGTGACCCTCTCGAATGTCCTTCATGCAGTCTAGGCTGTGTTTTGTATTCAAAAGACAATCCCTTGGTAGTACACGGGCCTAGTAATGTTCTGGTTTCTTGAATTTGCTAAAAGCAGGGGCACTGAATTGTGAAAGCCCACTAGAGCCAGTTCTACTTCTCTTTTAACAGTGATGTATCTCTCTTTTAGCAATAGTCTTGTTGAGTGAATTCTTGCAGCATCAGACCCTTCTCAGTTGTTGGATTCTTTTTAAGGTTTTCATTTTTTGAGGAAAGAGGGCAAAGGGTACAATTAGGCCTTTATTCAGAACACTCACATTTCGTAGAGGGAATCTGCATTTACTGCATAATTTTAGTTTCAAAATTTATTGCAAAGCGTCACCTGGGTGAAGAGAATTCCCCTGCAGAGCCATGTGTTCGTGCCTTCCCCAAAGTGTGCGTTCTCCCTCTCTGAGAAAGGATGCTTTCCTTTACAATGATGTGTATTAAATAAAGCTGACATGCTTCCTCTTTTCAGCTATCTGCCTGGTTCTTGGGAACACTTCTTTTTTTAACAGAAAGCTTTCTTTATTGATTCAGAACTAGAAAAATGTTTAACGTAGTAGTAACATTGCGCAACAAAGGGAAACGTGGTTTTGGCAATTCTCTGGCTCAGGGCATGAATGTGTATGAGTCTATCTGTGTGTAAACACTTAGTTAATTCTTCAGGTGGGTTTAAAAAAAATGGAAATATATAAATTGGTATCCTGATCCTTGAGACTGCAGTTGGATATCTTGTGTCATTTTTTGCTCACATTCAGATATGGTGGTCCCCTATTGAAGTTTTCAAGGGTAATCAAAATTTCAAATATTCTATTCTGTTGTTAGGTCATATATCCTGATTTGGGGGTACAGAAACGATGTCACCTTAGGTAAGGACTGAAGAGAGGATAATTGTAAAATGTGAGAAAAATACAAAGAATGTAAGAAAGCCTTATACCCACCTTCATTTCAATATATGTGTTTGTTATATGAAGAGTTTTAAAGCAAATACATCTTTGATTGTCTCCTAAATTTATTTCAAATTGAATTTGTGTTCTGCTTAATCTTCTAACCATTCTGCAGCCATATGTAGACACCAAACAGATGCAGATAATGAAGCATGTTGGTAACTAGCTGCCTTGTGTAGACCCAACTTAAAAGAAACAAAAAGCGGTGGATTTTCAGCATTGTAATTTTATTTAAAAGGATAAAGAAAATTCAGCCCCATTGTGGAGTTTATTTGTAGCATAAATTAATCTTCTTAATAACTAAGATCAATCTTCCTATTTTACTTGACCCTGCCACCAACAGAATA